TATATAACTCCTTCTATTACACTGAATCTGTGTTATGGGGCGATGAAACCTGAAATGAATTTATCATTTTGAGTAGCCATATAATAGCGTTTAGCTGCATAATACAGCTGCAATAATGCTGCTTTCATGTCAGGACGATTTGTCAGTAAGTGTTTTATCAAAACCTGAATCTCAAATATTTGTATACATTTAGATGCTTTAAATGAACTCCAGCATGCGTTTCTCACTTTGTAGATGCCGGTGATTAAAATGAGTGACAGCAGTTGAGAGATATTGGAGCCCACTAATAAAGGTCACGTCCTACTTGCAGTTGTGCCTCTTTGGTGCATTTGCAGACCTACATAATCAAGGTGGATACACAATTTAAAGCAAGAATAAAGCCAATGTATTAAATGAACAATAGAGTCGCAGACAAAGGTCAAAACTACACAACTGAATGACAAAGTATACAAAACAACACGTCAAAGGCTTGTTTGATTGTGAACTCTGACTTCTTATTTAAGGTCATACTATATGTGACTTCAAACCATCTGCTCCTCTCTTTACTCCGTCAATATTTGTCGGGTTTTCACACACTTAGACACACAGATGTGACATTTTTAGAGATGAAGGGATTGTGTATATACAGTATATGCAATTCTTTGCTTGTTTGTGACCCTCAGTTCAGTACGCATAGGTCTTATTGTCTCTGCAAAGGAGGTCATATTTTTGGGTTCGGTTTGTCAGCAGGCTTAAGGAAGGACTACTGCCCTGTTTTTTTTCATGAAACTTAAGGTGTAGCATGGGCCAAGGAAGAACCCATTACATTTTTTAGCAGATTGGCCTTTGCAGTGCTCCTCTAGTTTTTAGTCAGGTAACCACATTAATAACGTTATTTTAATCTACTTTAAAGTTGTCGAGCTGGGGATCTTCCACCAAACAGGAGTTTTCCCTTGGTTGTGTTCCCACTTGATTAATCAGATGTTATGATAAATTCAACGTGACAAGGAAATTGCTTAACCTCCCACTGCACAAATGTATCATTGTGTTCTTGCAGCATTTCACCATTTCAAACAACGCTGTGACGAATAACAAATGACGACTTTTATGATACACAATGAGGCATCTTTAGCACAAGGATGAGTCTTAAATGAGCCTATTTATAGCCCGACAGTGATCAACAGACACAGACAGATCACTCACTGCGCTGTTACTGTTGATGATATCATCAAGGTGAGTCCAGATGACTTATATGTGCTCAATGGCATTCATGGGAATAAGTCTGAGTAAAGTGTTTTTTTTTAATCTGGTTCAAGGCATGATTCAGGATTAATATTGTAAGTGGAATTCTACATTGTTGAGGCGTGTCCTGCGCTGGATTCATGTTTGTCAAAGTGGGTTCTTCAAACCACAAGACAAGAAAATGATCCCGCACAGAAAATATGTGCAGCACTCAACATTAACCATCGACTTCCTGTATGGGCCTTAAGGGTTAAGTCTCGTGTATTAGGGGACCGACCATAGCGAAATATGCATCTATTTTGGAGTCGGTTACATGGACACATGTCATGCCCCTCCCCTCCTTAGTTCCCTTGGTTTGGAAATCCTCACCATTTACAGCTTCATAAAAACTGTATTTGACACACTTTCGGGTGACATGGCTATATTTATTTAGCCTTAACTGATGGCTTAGATAAAGGCTGCGTAAAACAGATAAGAGTCCTGTTCTTTTTTTCCCCCGCCTCCAACAGTTGAAAGGATTTTTTCATGGTCATAACTACTCGCTGTCCAAGACAAAAAGAAAAACAGATGTGCATACTTTGGCCCGAGGGGCACTCCCATTAAAAAAAATAAAAAAAGTTTGACTAAATACAATTCACCAACATGAATATATTCAAGACTATCAGGAGACCATTTGACCTGTTGAGTCACTACTACAGTATATCTACAATGCTCTGGAACATATATATATATATATATATATATATATATATATATATATATATATATATTTATTTAGAGGTACAATCTCGAAGCTCTCCGTTTTGTTCTCTTTAATGCACCTATGGGAATAAGCGGTATAGTTGCAGGTGTTGTTTTGGATCTCAATTCCCTGAAATCCAAACTGCGTCGGGAATTCCAATGTAATGTCAGTTTGAAATCCTGCAAATGCAACCTCCTTTTTTCATCAGTTACCAGTGTGTTACCTCACTCGGCGATGGATAGTGACTTACCTGCCTTTTATTTGAATGAAAATCATCAAGATTATTACTTTAAGAGTCAATAGAAAACAGAAAGTTAAATAACAACTGTACGTCTTGTCTTCATAGCGCCTTCAGAGTCCCTTTTCATAAAGTAAAAACATGTTTGGGGGCACACTGTCAGTCTCGGGTAGTATCCTTTTGGATCGCACAGGTGTCACCCCGCAGAGAAACAGCCTCCGCTTTCCCATTCAGATGACATTGCGTCTAGGTTGCGTGTTTCCCGTTGAGCTCTCCACCGGCACTTGATTGCCTTTCACTAAGAATGGGAAATAAGTGGTGAGGTAAAGACCTTTAAACTTGGTGCTGCAGAAGCAGTAGACCAGCGGGTCCAGCAGACAGTCCAAGTAGGAGAGGACCATGAGGCCGTCAAAGGCCGCGGCAGCTTTCTGCTGCGAGGCTTTAGACCACAGTTGGACCCGGGAGATCAGCAGAACCATCCTGGCTATGGTGCAGGGGAGGAAGCAGAGGGAGAAGACCACCATGACGGAGGTCACCAGGAACACTGCTCTCCTCAGCTTGGTCCTGTCCCCGACAGTTTTTTTCCTGAGCCGGTTGACGATGTGCACCGTGCAGTAGACCAGGATGAAGAAGGGGATGACAATCTGGGAAAAGAAGACCGCTTCTCGCATACTGTCCACCAACTCCTAAAAAATCAGAAGAAATCATCTTAATTTGTCATTCACGTCAACAACAAATTCTCATTCATGATTGGCCATTGTGTCCCCAAAATGTGTATTTCAAAAACAGCAAGTAGGAAACTCTCAGGCGATCTCCTGGCATTCTGCCTCCAGCCAGCTGCTGCCTTATTTAGGTTTTTGCAGTGAAATGTGGAGGTGAAAAAGCGAGAAATTGGAAGACAGACGCGTAGCGACAAGTTACGCATATTACACGTTCAGCGTGGAAAACATTACCTCCCTCGAAGTAGAGTCGGCATCGTAGCTGTTGCAGCAGTCAAAGTTCTTGAGCATGGTCGGGATGGTGAGGGGCAGCAGGAGCAGCCAGATGACGATAGAGATCTGTGGAGATTTCTTTAGAGCTCTCAGGAGATTCTTGCGACCGGGGTGCACCACGTTGAAATACCGGTCGATGGAGGTCACCGTCAGGAAGGCAATGCTGGCCCCGCGGTTCAAAAACAACATGAAGAGCATTCCTTTGCACACCGTGTCATTTGTGCTCCTCCTCTCCCCTAGGATGAAGTTGTGTGCCTTGATGGGCAAACAGAAGAGCAGGAGAATGTCAGCCAGCACCAGGTTGAACAGGAAGATGTTGTTGGTGTTGGATTTCCAGAATTTCAGCTTGAATATAAAGAGGTGGAGGACGGATGCGTTCAGAGGCAGGGCCAGGATGAAAATCACAATCATGACGGCCGCGTAGAATTTGTACAGTTTAATGTACTCTGCCCGGCAGTCGTCATCAACCTCATGAACAAGTGAAGGGGTGCTTGTCATTTGAGCAGTGAAATTGCTCATGATTAAATCTGAATTCGAAGCCAGAACGAGCAGTGTTTTTCCCTTAAACTGACAAGGTAAACACTTCACACATTAAGTCTCACCAGGCAAACACACACTAAAACACACACCCACACACAAAAAGAAAAAAACCCGCCAAACAAGTTTCTTCACTGTCTTCAGTTTGAATCTTCTTTTATGTTTAAGATCCCTCTTTTAGTCCTCGTGTGTGTTTCTGTTGTCCAAAGTCATGCAGGGTTGACTGTCCTGGTTTGTGAGTGCCAGTAGCAAGTCTGGAAGTGATCCTCCTAGTGTGCAGAGCAAATGCTTGACAGCTTCTTTGAGTTTGCCTTGCAGTTCAGCCCCGTGCTTGTGGCTCCGCCTCTTCTGTAGCCCGAGGAGGTGAGTCACCAGCTGCTTTTCTACTGGCGGGACCAGTGGGGCTGACAAGGAACAAATACCAGCCTGTAAGGTTTTAAATACAAGTACACCAAACTCTTTTTTTCTTAACCAGAAACTGATAAAACATCGAGCGAAGCACAAGCGTGGCGAGGTTTCTTTTGCGATGGAATCAAAGTCTGCTTGCCACTGTCAAGCACCGACAAGCACCGACAAGCCCCTGTGTGAACCCTCGAGGTGATATGACTTTAGACAGGCGGCCAATCAGTGGTGTGAAAAAAAACTGTTGCGGAATCATTTCCTGTTCTTGCAAAACATACTGCTTTTTTCCTGCCACAAACTATGAGAATTTACCATTTTGCTACTCCGATGGTTCAGTAATTCCCAGAAGCTACTGAATTGACTTACTGTTTCTCATAAAGGACAGCTTTTGAGCGCGTTTTGCAGCTTAGCAGATGCTACAAATGCTTAAAAAACGGGAGATATTCCGAGAAAGATTCCCCCTTAGAGTACGCAGATGTGGATCCCTGGGAATTGATGATGGATGTAAGTGTAGGCACGAGGAGATGGACATAGCGCAACTGTCAATGTCTTCTACTATGTAAGGAAAAGTAGACGAGGTTGTATGGAATGCCGCGTCCTAAGGGAGGAGGAGAAAGAGGGGGTTAGTCTTAGGCCTCACACTCAACTCTGCATGCCTCGAACTTTGCATGCCTCAAGCTCCTTATCTACTTCAGCTACAAGTTCAGGCAGCTCGATGGAGTCAAACAGGTTTTACAGATGTGACCTCTCTCCAAAATCATGATTTTTAAAGCGGCACGTACACTAGAGACTAAACGCATGAAATGTCAAAGTCATCATCAGCTTAAGTATCAATAAAATAACTCACATTTCTCTCATGTCATTGAACGGTTTTACTGCTTGGGAGGATTCATGTTGATGTTGATCTGGGAGTTAAGATTTATACTGAGCGACTGGAATGCTCGATTAAATTAATTATATCTTGTCTCGGCTTGCACCAACAGGGATTCATTTTTTCTACCCGATTAAATCAGGGTTTGACTTTGAATCATGTTGCACCGAACTTTAAAAGTATAGCTCAGAAAGAAGAAAGATTATATTCAAACGTCAGTTTAGAATTTACTCTCAACCTAGATTAAATTCAATTTCTGCTGCACCAAAACTTTCAACTGTAATTTGAAATGTGATCCAGCTATTAACCTTAAAGTTACACTTGAGGATTTAACACGAAAAAGAAGATCAAGTTCCAAGAAGAAAATTGAAAGACGGATTCAACCCAGTTAAGTTTATGATGCTGCTGAGTTTCTCTCAAGGCGGTGGTTCAGTAAAAACACCAAGATTCTCATTTTTCAAACATTCTCATTTTTTCCTCATTGTGTCAAGAGTTGTTTTCCTTACTGTGTTGTTGTCCGTTTTTTAATCTTCCATTATTTTGCCATAGTGTTACATTAACTCGGCCAAAACTTTTTTTTCTCAAATTGGAGCTTCTCTGCCAAACCTTAATGAGTAACGTTAGGCTAACTCACTGACTTTACAACGAGCTTCTAGCAAACATTGCAACAGCTACATTGCAGTTACATAAATTCGGGCAAACATTCATTCCCCATTTTGGTTTAAACTTTTTTTACTAGACAGAGGTTAGTTTTGGATTTACTCACTTAAACCTAGCTTTACTAAACTCTGATAAGAACTAATCTGAGATTGAATTAATCCATGTTGGTGGAACCCAGCCCTTAGACTTGACCTTGTCAGATGAGTACCTTTTTCTGATCCTTGACCTCCCTCTCTCTCCTGTCCACATTCCTCCGACAATGATTTAATTGTGTGTTGGGTTACTCAGTAAACTACGCAGTGGATCAAGGTATAATCAAAGCAAGCCGGCGCTCAGTAGCACAGCGATACTCTCTATCTACCTGCAGGATTAGTTTAGTGACTAGGATTGATAGTAAGGCAATTTCAGGTTGTATCTGAACACCCTATCCCTCATTATCTATCAAACTGGGAACACACACACACACACACACACACACACACACACACAAATGATTTATTAGTTACCTCGCTTCTCATGAGAAGTTTGGATATTTTTGCTATGGATATTATGAGAAATGTAATTTCTGTGACATTTTCTTCAATGTAGATCAACATGTCAACAAAGTGTATCCTTGTTACCACACGGCACAGAAATAGAAAAGAGTAAGTTGTTACAAGTTCAGCAAACCACAGCTCATTCTTATTTATATTCAATAAAACCTGCAGTTTCTGTCTATGTCATACTGCCCCTGTTGTTTTTGTGCTTTCAGAGTTTAATTTTGCAAAGTTGACTCATAAGACGTAAAGTACCATAATGATTCAGTCCATATAGCGTTCTTCATCTTTATTCTGTCAATAAACAGCACACAGATAAGGTGACTGTTGTCGATTTTTAAGGAAATATTAAAGTGGCAATAGACAAATTCTTTGCTTCAACTCATCAGTTTGAAGTAAATGTTGATTGCAAACTGTAATGGCTATAAAATGAGTTGTCTGTTTCCAATTTAAGAAGAAAAAACTGATGATATACATTCATTAAGAACATCTACTATTACAATGAGGTCCATATGACCTACATAAACAAACGAGACCATCAGCAGAAATATTGTCTATTTCTATTGTAGGTATTCTTAATGTCTGTCATCTGGTGCGATTCCCGGACCGCTCGGGGGAAACTGTCGGACCCTGCTGATCTAAAATGAGAGGTTTTCCAAAGGGAATCTGGTGCTCGCCAACACCACCGCTTTTATCTGCAGGGAACGCCAAAATCAACACAAACTGAAAGTTCTTTGTGTTAGCTCTAATTAAAATGTAATATTTCATAGGTACATTTTTTAGTTATTGAAATGAACAGTGGTTATTAGCCTAAAGGAACGTGATCATGGCTCTTGAATCCAGCAGGACTCTGACAAGTCCAGCGTTGCAGCATCAGAGGCCAGTCAGACAGCTCAGCAATCAGCCTAGCGTCCTCAGATTGTCACGCTCACTCGTGACTCCAGTAACACTCCCTGTAAGGTTGTACCTTCTGCTATAACTCATTCAGACTCTTTCTCACTGTCGTCCGTACTATCTCACAGCAGGCTGAAATGTTTGGCACTCATCCGGTCACATATTTTGGGCTTCCAAGTGTGCACGCTGTGAAGCTTTTCCTCCTCCTCCTATCCTGCAGATTCACTCCTTTCTGATCTATCAGCATCATATACAGTACTGTGTATGAATTGTCTCCCACTCAGATGCATTTAGATCCAAAGAAGAGACAGCAGACCAGAGACACTTGCCTACCACCACAGAGGCCGATCAGACTGTAGACAGAGACCAGGACCCAGTCGGCCCCTCTGCTAACCCTGCAGACAGGTACTCAGACGGTTGCTCTACAGCTCTGGAGGGTTTTTGGGTTGTGACTCGTAAACCCAATATATGGTAGAACATGTGTGCCACTTCTTTGTTACCTTAACCCTGCTTTGATATTATTTGGTAATTTTCTTTTCCAAATGTCACTTTAAATGTTCTTTTAACGCTGATCTTCAGGGAGTGTGTGGAGAAGCAGCTGAAAGTGCATGAAGTCTCTGAGCCAAAGCAGCTGCAGGTATATTCCATAATGGCATAGTATGTACAGTAGTACTGTAGGACAAGTGGCAGATTAGACACCACTTAGATGACAAAAAACATATCACCAAAACTCAAATGCAAAGATGTATTACTGTCACAGAATAAAGTTGCATTGCTGTTCTTTAAATGTATCGAATGGGACTGAAAATATTCTGTTGATGTTTAATCTGTTGGATTAAACATAAAAAAACGTCTTCACTTTTATTTCAACAAATATATCAGCTTTTACAAGAATTTCACAGAGCTGGGACCGAATAAAAAATATGAATATGGAAAACATTTTCAGTCGAATTGTATTGAACGGAAATAAAACAATTTCGGTCATTTGTTTTCATTTCTTTATTGTGTCACTGTGTGTTCTATTGCTCTTTGAATCTCAATTATGTTAATTAAAGGAGAAGAAAACCAAACAAAAATGACTCCAGGCTGCCCAAAAACATTCTCACCATCAAATTATTAGTTGCCCAATTGGGCAGAAAACCACTGTAAAGCACGCTAATAAACGGCAATATCAACATGACTCTGAAATGATTTTTCTTCGATCTTTTCTTTTTCAGAACCTTAGTGGGATGGTGAGGTTGACAGAGAGGCGCTACTTCTTGCGGGAGGGTGAGGGCGATTCCAAGATGTACAGAAATAATCTGAAGGTCACCGATCAGCAGGAGGCCCAGAGGAGTGCTTCCCTCGGCCGGCAGCAGCTCGGCGGGAAGTTAACCTCTGGCATCCACAGTCGCTCCCCTTCCCCGTCCGCTATCTTTAAAGACGAAGCGTCGCAGCTTGAAACCTTCCAGTCTTTGACCTTTCAGCCGGATCATGGCCGAGAGTTTGGGACTCCACGAGACTTTTGCCAGACCGCCGAGTGCAGCCAGAGGAGGACCCCGACAGAGATCCATGCTCCGGTTCAGGTCTGCAGCCGAGAACAAACCTACTGCAACACTCCCCTCGTGCCCCAACCTGAAACTCCACCTGTCCAACTAAAACGTATCCCTCATATTCCTGCAACAACAGGCACAGAGGATAAACGTGGCCAATCACAAGAGAGAAAGTCCAAAGAGAACTCCTGTGTCAAAGAAAAAGATGACAGCGATGAAGAGACAGAATGCAGAATTAATCAATCACTCTCTGAGCAGACACTCTCTGTTCGCAAGCCTTTCAGGGAGAAAAGGGTGAAGCGCCAAGAAATGGAAAACGTGGGTGAGACCGCAGGACTGATTGTTGATGAGGACGAGGTGAAAAGTCAGTTTGAATTCACGGCTCCTCATAGAAAAACGGCTGCGCGCGCAGGTGTTGCCACCTCAGAGGATCTATGGGAACAATCCCTGCAGCAGAACAACACACACGCGTGGACACCCGAACATCCCAGCGCTGCGTATGAATCAAACTCAGTGCACCATTTCAACATCCGCCCCCCTATGAAGGACAACAGGGTTTCCCCTCGGGCCTGGAGAAATCAGGAAGTTATTGTTAGTTTTAAGATCATGGACGACCACATGGAGAGAGTCTCAAGCTTTAACATGGAAACTCTATCAACATGCTGCGATGAAAAGAAAACACACTCTCATCTTTGCCAGTGCAGCAATTCGAGAGCGGGAAGCAGCACGGGCTCAAACTGGGTTAAAGGTCAAAAGCAAGCTGCTACAACAACAGCGGAATTCTGTCTTGACACATGTCAAGTCCCAACACCTCTGAGAAGCAGCACATTTCCCACACATTCCACCACAAGAAGCATTACTGGTGGTGATGGTAGTGGCGGGGATGATGAAAATAACCCACAATCCCAGTGTCACCAGTTTCCCAAGCTCCCATTCCCTCCACCCTGCCTCGGCCTCCAGGAATCCCATTTATATCTACCGGAGGCTGATTATGGCAACGAGTCTGAGAAGGAACAAATGTTCCCGAAGATCCAGAAACAGGATCAGCAAAAATCCTCCTCCTCCAGCTCCAACAGAGATGATAAAACTCAGGGGGATTCTAATGGTAATTGTGATGTATGTATGTAAAGTTGCAATCTCGAAGATCTCTGTTTCGCTCTCTTTGATGGCACCTGTGGCGATAAGCACTGGTGTGTTCCATGATGTCGCTGCCCTAACTGCGCTGCTTGTGATTCCCCCCCCGGGAATGTCACAGCCCCCAGGAAGAGCGCTGAGCTTTAAAGTCAAATTTGACATAGTAGCCAAACCGTGGAATTACAACTTCCAGATCCGTCACTCAGACTTTTTCTCGTAGACTAACATTGGGAAAGTGACATTTGTAAATCAGTGGATACTTTTTTTCTCCAGCTCTATTTTTACATCCATGATCACCACATACACCCAGTTTATTATCTTTCAATTACAAGGGCTTTCAATAGTGTGCCATAGGCTCAAGCCCCACAATGGGGCCTTTGAGCCTTTGAGCCTATAACTCCTTCGGCAATGATAGATTGTGACTCATCAGACATTTAGTTCAATGAAAATCCTCCAGGTTATTCATTTCAAGCACAGATCACCTGTAAATAGAGGCAATTTTCATCTGCCTCTTACAAGTGACCTTTGTGTATTTCTTTATGTCTAGGGCTCAGAGAATGTTGAAGATACACTCACCGAAACCAAGAAGGAAACCTGACGGTCCAGACGTAACGAAAAGGGCACGAACATCGAGGGGATTTCTCAGGTAAAAACTGATATTTTATAGCATGCAAAATAGATTCTTTTATATCTATTCCACATCTAGCAACGCAGCGTTGGCTCGGGAGATAGGTTGGTATCATTTTCATTAAGAAAGTTTTAGCTTCCTTTCTGGTTTATCATCATATCTTTTATTTCCTTTTAAAGAAAGCACAGACAGGAAATGATATGCAGACTTAACAAAAAAATGCCATTGACCTGTTTCAGTAATTCAGCGACATTGTATCAACAGTTTTACAGTAGACTGATTCTCAATGGAGGAAGAGGATTGGCTCGAAAGACCCTGTTAAACTACGAGATGGATTGAAATGAAATTTGGTACAGACATTTAATAACTTCAGTGATGACTGACTTCTTAATCCAGCGGCGTCAATTCAAATTTGTCCCAATAATTTATGACCAAAACCACTTGCAAAACTGATATATTTCCCATCAGCCTCAGCTATACTCTGTGTTCTGTGTTTCTATGCAGAGAAGGAGCGGATCAGAACGATGAGGTGGAGAGCAGAGAGCGGAGCCAGGACGTGAGGAATCAACACATTCTGCACAAACTGGAAACTGGGGAAGTCCAGGTCAGTTTTTTGGGTGGGAGGAAATACTGTATGTCTCGGCCTTCGTGCAGACTGCAGGCAGAAGCGCCCCCAAGCTGTGACTCAGATCATTTGATTAGAATCAAATGAAATCAGATCTTTTGGGCCACTTTCATATGTGGTCCTAATGCAACCTCTGTCTGAACAGCCATACAGGAATTCAATGCAACTAGCCCTTGACATCATGACATTTTGGATAAAATCTGTTTTAGTGACACGATCCCACCGCTCCGACTCTGCGTCCGTACAGAAGCAGCAGCCGTTGCTCCACAAAAAGCCATAATTCAAAATGTGTCTCTCTTTCTCGTCATTCGCTGGCCTCCCGTGCACATCAGCTTGTAAATGTAACCGTAAACACGGAGTGCAGTGGCCTCCGTGTTTACCTCCTTACAACAGCACGCTGTGTGTCGCGTCTAAGCTCTTCTGCGCATGCGGGTCAACTCAGGACCGGGACCAGTCCTGGAATCTGATATTGGCCACATTAGAAAAATAATGTGAACAGCCAAAGAAAAAAGATCAGATCAGAGCAATAAATCAGAATTGAGCACCAAGGCCTGCAGTGTGAGTTTAGCATCTGTGTCAAACCAGACGTAGGGGAAGTAGACTAATGTCTCTTCTAATAAAAAGATAAAACAACATCTGCATATCACTCAAGCCGCAAAATAAACATTGAATTGTCAGCTGTTTTGCTGCAGTGTTACTCGACAAAAAGCCTTCGCCTTTCTCATGACATTTATTTGCCCATTTCACGACCACAAACCATGAAGCAGGTCACACCTCCTCTCCTCGCCAAGCTGCATACACACATGTGATAGTTGCTCATTGACATGATGGTGAGCTGCCTTGTGTCAGAGCCTTGCCTCTGTAATAATTTAATATCCTGCATTTCTCCAAAGCTCCCTCCAGTATTCCCTTAAGCCATGGATGTCGGCCACACCCATTGGTATAGAGTATGATGCAGAACTGGTACCACCGGTGGTGTATTATCATTTGCATTTCGTTGGAAGCGAGCTCTTTGAAAGCAGTACTTCAACTTTGCTTTCAGAAACCCCTTTTAACATTTCAATACAAGGATCAAGGGTCTGAAGAGGAAATGTGAAACCTTCCTCTGGACAACAATAGATTGTGCAATTGTTGTAGATGATGTCATGCATGTGATGCAGGGTGCTGCTGGGAAATTACCTGTAACCTGAAAAGCTTTTCTCAGAAACCCTTCTCTGTAGAGCAAATGACCATAAAGTAGGACAAAAAACACTTCTCTTAAGCAGTTTCAACAATAACAACAATGTCTCAATTATGGTGACTAAATCTAATCAACATATATTTTCACTTTGTTTAATTATAATATTATTTGTGTACTGTAAGATTTTGAGGATATCTCTTTATTTAAAAAAAAGCAGCGTAGTTTTATTTTTGTCATTAGAAGATAGTGAGATTAGACAAAATTTTATCCGAATTTATTCAAGCTAGGTCAGTAAACAGCGAAGCATGGACAGTGCATTGATTAATTTATATATATATAAATGTTTTTCTCCAATAAAAATATAATATTACGATAATGTAATTCTATTATTGGCTAAAGAAGACGGAGTGTTGCACAAGGACCAACTGAAAACGGTGGTTCAGGGAACTTGACTCAAATCAGCTTCAAGCTGTTTCCTGATAGAGATTCTTTTCTTGTTAGCTGCAGAGCGGTTAAACACGGGATGGCGTAAATCTGTGCAAACATTTACAAACAGACTCCCACTCCCTTCAAGTCAGCGCCTGAGTCACAACCAGAGCTCTGTGTGTGTGTGTGTGTGTGTGTGTGTGTGTGTGTGTGTGTGTGTGT